GCTGCTCAGGGTGATCACACATAAACGAACAGTCATTTTCCTTTGTCATTAGAGAGTCCTTTAGGTGGTGGATTCAGACAAAAACTTTTCCCCTGGCTGCCCATTTCAGTGAAGATGTTTGATTTAATTTTACCAAAATACTTAAAAAGCCAAGGATAGCTTTTTGGAGTTAGTAGACTTACGTTACTTGTGCATTTTGTCTTTTCCAGAAGCCTAAAGAGCCTGTTCCAACCCTGGCTCCAAAAACCCTTTCTGTAGCAGCAGCTTTCAACGAAGATGAAGATGTGAGTAATAAGCCAGTGATCAACACAAAATACCATTGGCGTGGTAGGGAGAGAGGGTGGGTTATTTATGGTTCTTAACATAAATGTCAGGAATTTTCAACCTCGAAGCATCTCTTTTGGCTTAGATTAAGAATGTACAATACCTCTGTGTTGCTGCAGGGCACCTTTCCCTGCCAGGCACTGGTGTTGTGTGCTATAACTGTGTACAGCTCCCCTGTGCCAGGGTCCCTGGGCAGTGTGCAGGGCTGCAGGCACCTTTCCCTGCCAGGGTCCCTGGGCAGTGTGCAGGGCTGCAGGGCACTTTCCCTGCCAGGCACTGGTGTTGTGTGCTATAACTGTGTGGGAGCTCCTTGTGCCAGGGTCCCTGGGCAGTGTGCAGGGCTGCAGGCACCTTTCCCTGCCAGGCACTGAAGTCTGGGCTGCTTTTCTCCGCAGAGCGAGCCCGAGGAGATGCCCCCCGAGGCCAAGATGCGCATGAAGAACATCGGAAGGTAGGGCAGCCTTCGCTGTGCCTGGGACAAGGGTGAGCTGTGGGAGGCCAGCCCGGCTCAGGGCAGGTCTGGAGGATGGTTTGAGAATGCAGTGAGGTCGAATAGGTGACAGAAACATTTCTCCAGAAACAAGATTTTCAAACATGTCATCTACACTTGCATTTGAACTTTGAATCTTATTTGCATTTTTTGAGGAAGAAATTGAGTCTGCATTAAATAGTAACTAAATATAGCATTAAATAGAAAAATAGTAACTTTTTTTTTTTTAAGTGTAATAGGTGGGAATTCCTGCTTGTCTCTACTTTGTATTTTTCTGGTTCTCCCTTTTATAAATTACCTTGAAGTAGGTAGTCTGGTCACATTTTTAAACTCATGTGCAAGGAGAAGATAAGAATTATCTCTCAGAAAGACAAAGAATTGCTTCTTTATAATAAATCATGTAACTCTCCTGCTTGCCACAGATTTGAGAGGGTAGCGGACCAGTCCTAAAATAAGTTGGGACCTTTTCAGAGGAGCCTTCATGTAAATTAGGGATGAATTTTGAGAATTTGTATTTCAGAGGTGTTTGTCATGATAGACTGCTTTTAAAGTCAGTCACTATGGAAGTTCTCCAGTTTGGTGGTTTTTCTTTTTTCTCCAGTAACAAATTTGGATCCTCAGTTTCTTAATCTTCATAGCTGGCAGCAGTTGCTGCCACCTCCTCTCCTGCTCCATCTCCTCACTCTGCTTTGACACACTGTGTACAGATCAGTTCTGTGGCCAGCTCACAGTTGCTAAGAGTGAGGGCTCCTGATGTAGCAGAAGGAAATTCGTGTGGTAGTTAGAGGAACAGGCTGGGCTTGAAATCAGCATTTCAGTGTCATGGCACAGTCTGCTATAGCTGAGCTGGCTTTCTCAACTGCTCTTGTTGTGCTTTTCACAGGGATACACCAACCTCAGCAGGACCAAATTCATTCAATAAAGGAAAGCATGGATTTTCTGACAACCAGAAGCTATGGGAACGAAATATAAAATCTCATCTTGGAAACGTCCATGACCAAGAAAATAACTAAATGATGTGGATTACAAGTTGGGTGTTTTGGGGGGAGGGGAGGGTGTAACATTAAAGGAACAGTTTCCTTTTTTAAGAATGGTATGAGACTATCTTTGGAGCCACTTTTTTAAGACTTTGAGTGGTACACTAATAAATGAGTTTGAAATTAGAGGTAATTTATGTTTTGTATACAGATTTCAAGGCATTTGCTAATTTTGTAGTTCATGTGATTAGTTTCAAAAGGTTACAGATAATAAAGAAATTGGAGTGATACCTTTTTAAGATAATTTTCTTTTGTCAGTGATTAAATAAGGTGGATGAAAAAGGTTACTGTCTCTTTAATCAGGTTAAAATTGAATGCTCTTGCATTCTCACTTCTGGCTCCCTCTTCATAACAGGAGAAACAGTTGACTCCTCTGAATTCTGCTAAAGAGAGTGAGCACTGTCTTGTACTAGAAGTGTTACTGGACTATTACTTTGAATATAATCTTACACAGGAAATAGTAAGAACTTGGATTTTTTTCTCTCCCTGCAGTCACCTTTTGTTAAGTCTCTGCAAACTAGGAATTACGTTGCTCTGAGTGGCTCTGGTAACTTAGCTCTGATTTTGTTTAAAACTTCATGTAGGGTGTGTAACCTTCAGTGGCCTGTTCTGTGTAAGGAAATGGGCCTTGTCTGTATATTAGATACAGTCTGTAAAGAATATTCATTACAAAGGTAAATCGGTATTTTCAGTGTGCTCCTTTTAAGTCATTAGCCTTGAGTAGTTACTGTTAGCATTTCCTAGTGGTACTCAAAAGCCACCACCAAAAATACAAGCTAATGTACATTAAGCTTCACCTTTGGTTGAAATATTTTTCTTTACTATGCCTAGAAGGAATAAAAGCCACACCAAAAATCGGTAACTCACTGCTTAAGTATGAAAACTCTAAGATGCACTTTCCCTGTCTTGCCATTTTAGACAAAATGCCTTGATGTATGACCTCAGAGGACACTATCAGGTCAGAGAATGCTGTATCTGCAGTCTGATGTTCCTGACAAGTACCAGCTTCAGAAATCAAACTTGACCTTTTCCTGCCTGTCTTCCTTTGGCCGTTATTTTCTGCAGTGGCATGAATCCGGTCAGTTTATTTCTTAGCTGCCACACTGCAGGGCAGAGCTGAAGGATTTCAGTGCTACTCATGACCATCTAAATTTCAGTCTTTGTAAAAACATTTTACTAGCAGAACTGGTTAAATAGAACAGCAATGTAACTGGTTAAATTATCAACAGCAATACCACCACCTGCCCCAACAGCACCACCTCCCATACCCCAAATAAAACATAAGGTTCTTTTTAAACTCAAATACCTGATAGTGTCACCCACTAAATTAATTTCAGCTAGGAAATGGTTGTAGCATTCAATATATTAGTTGCTTTCATCCTGCCCCTAAAACTGGCTTCTTGCTTAAGTTGAACTTGCAAGTGCAGAAAGGAAAGTGCATCTTGAAATGTATTTTTTTATTATTATTATTATTTTAGGAAAGCTCTGACCACTTAGACTTTTGAGTTTGTAAGTTCTAAAAATATCTTTTGTATTTTTGTATTGTATGTGTAATCTTTTTTCTTTTGAAGTCTGATGCAGTTGAATACCTGTAATTGTTTTCTTTTAAAAGCCTTGTTATAAACTTAACATAAAAATGTATACATTATTTTTCTTCCATAGCAGAAATACTTGGTTTATTTAAAACACACTTTCAAAACTGACTTCAGGCCTTCCAAAACCAATTTGGGCATTACTGGAACTAGGCAAGACAAACTTTTCACTTATTTTCATCACATGTGGTTATGTTTGTCTGAATAAATCCCTTTAAGATAGTGGTAATCCATAGTGAATAGCTATTTTCTTGTGCTCCTCAGTAGCTGGTTCGTACTCTATCAATCACTTGTACAGGAACAAAGCAAAACAGAACTTCAAATAAGAGAATGACTCAGATCTCTTCCTTGTTTTAACCTACCACCATTTTCTTTCACATCTTTATCTGCAGTAGATGTTCATACCCAGAATTTCCTTGTACTTCAAAATCACTTAGGAAATTGCTAGGCAGAAGAGCAGACATACTATGGAATACCTTCCATGCAACTGGGAGAGCAAAAGTTATATTTATCTTACTTCTATGGTCAATAAATAATCCTAGACCTTGTGAGAGACTGCAGAAACATCTGAATTCAGTGCAGGTGAGCAGTGATCCTGCCTCAGCCAGTGCAGGCGTTCTCATCCTTCTCTGTGCTTCGGAGCAAATCCATCAGCTGGCCTCAGCCTCCTCAGGGCTGGTGCCAGACAAGCTGCGTTTGGCTGCTGGTGTTTGATGTCTGACACTTGCACCAGCAAACTGCCTGATCTGAACAATATCATCAAAGCTGGGACTAACTTGAAGCTGGAGGCTGTTAGTCATGGTTTTTGCATGCAGAGAGACTTTTTTTGTTCTTGGTGTGATTTTTTTTTTTGTTTTTTTGGCTAGTTGGTTTGGCTTTTTTTTCTAAGGAGGTTCAAGAATCCTGAAACTCATGGTAAATGGTGTGAATTAGCTGAAGTGCTTCCAGGAGGTATGCTGAGACCTTGCAGTGCTTAGCACAGCATGCTGTGTGTGCCTGGCAGTGGTTGAAATGCTGGCTGGTGTGGGTTTACCCCATGGGGCTCATGCTTGCTTAGCAGGAGCTGGCACTGAGCAGCCTGCAGAACACTGATGCCACGAGGTGAGGATGTGAGCAGTACCCTCTGTGCTACCCTGCGCTGGGCTGTGCTTCCTGCTGGCTTGGAACTGGATCCAAACTCATCTAAATGTATTAAAATAAGAAAAAAGCCCCCCAAAAAGGCAAGAAAAGTCCCCTTCCAAAACTCCACACCAAAAGAGCCCCACCAAGCAGTGCAGTGAGCTGCTGGTGTCCGTGTTGCAGGAAATCCATATACACGGTGTTTACTAGCACTGTGCTCTGCTGCAGCCACGTTCTGACACAATGCAGGAGGGCAGCGTCTCTCCTTTCCTCACACAACGCAACTCTTTGGGCCTCAAGCAAAACTTAAAAAAGCAGGTGCTCCTAGAACTATCCGGGCCAGAATCTACCCAGGTTCATATATGGACAATGAAATACTGCAGAGGAATCTGCAACACCTTCTTTCCCAGAGAAAAACAAAGTTTCTTGAAAGAGCAATTAATGGCAGAGCTCAGTTTATTTGATGACAGAAATAACCATAACTTTATACATCTTACACTAAATAAAAACAGCAGAATGTACAAATCTGATTCATTATGTACAGGAATTCACAAGGAATACTAAATGAACAGACACTTCTTATTAATTTTATTTCTTAAAAAATCAAATACCAGCTGCATATTTGCAGTCTGACTTTTGCAGAAGGATAGTGAATGTCTTAAGTGCTGAAGTCCAAAGGAAAACATAAGGCAACCCCACAGGATGGGAACAGCAAAGCCAAGAGTGGCACTCCCTACTTACCTCACACCATCTGAAAAGGTAAGGCACAGCATGTTAGGAAAGGGTGCCACGAAATTCAGCTTTGACATTCCTGGCTGAGTCTTCTTTAGAAAACAACCCTTTGTTACTAGTTTGGTTGGTGGCTGTTTTTAAACAGCAGATCATTGAGTCAGTAAAAGCATTCTGACAGAGGATAAGAAGGCTCCAAAATTCAAATTCACTTTTGCTTCTTCCATAGATTGGGCAAATAAATAAATGCACCAAAGAGTAAACTAAGGTGCTGGTAATCTTTTTTTTTGTGAGGTACCACACTAAATATACAAATAATGTTCTAGCACTATTTACAGCTATTTTTCCTTGAACACTTCTTCACTTTAGTAATACATAATTATTTTTAGGATACAAACACTGAAGTAAGTTTTCAAGTTTATCTAGTGCTCTTTATAATCCTTTTCCATCATAATGGCAATATTTTAATTTTAAGCAGGATGGCTATTTCCAGATTCTTTACCATACAAAAATTCAAGTTACAGCTAGCAGTATTTTTTTTAATATTCATTTTAGTTTTACTCCATTTGGTAATTAGAAAATAATACAATTGTAAAGGGGTGCAGGATATATAAATAACTGCATTATTTCTCTGAAATAAGACCCTGACTTCTGAAATAGGCATCTACAAATTAATTTGGATCCAAGACAGGAACTCAAACATAAAAAATCTTCAGCAACTGCTTATCTACAGAATTGTAAAGTATAAAAAGAACCGTCCACTCTGTAGCTTAGTAGACAGATATCCACATAGTTAAACAAGATGAAAAGTAGAAATACTAATTCAAATGAGGTGGTTACTTTGCCACAGGGTTTGCTGCAATTTTGTTCAGTGGATCTGTTTCATAGGTAGCAGTTATATGCATGTCACTTTATTTATGAAATGTACCCTGCAATATTACACATCTCTGGCTGCTCGGGTATCTTACTGCTGTCCAGGTTAGCAAACTGTGATACCCCAACAGACTGAGAATGCAAAGGCTACAGCTCTGATTGTTCACATGCAAACACTTTCTGTTTCCTTGACAGACACGCTGCTTGAAGAAACCACACAGCAGCAAAGGAACCCCACCTCGTACAGACTGAGGTGTGCCCTGTTCGTGGTGTCAAACCAGGACACAGAAACCTGGGCCAGGCACAGCTCTCATTCACACTTACTTTCAGGAGCACCCAGTAAGGATTTTTCCAACTGGGCATCCAGTTCCAACTCCAGGTATCAACTGGCCCTAGAAGTATTTCTCTTAAAGCAGTAGTAATAAGGTCTTCTAGAGAGTCTGGTAATTTTGAGACAAATTTAATTTTTACCCCATCCTAAGATTTTCATATTTCTCTACCCTGGTACTGTCATGTGTCCTGCTTGGGAATTAGCAGGGCTCATCCTTTCAATGCAATACAAGAAAAGATCAGTCCGTAACTCCCTGAACTTCCTGAAGAAGTGTGCGATAAGACCTTTTCCTTTGACAGTTTCTACATCAAATGCAAAGCAAAAGCAGAATTATCCCTCAAGAGCTGCCTGTGCTGGGCTCACACACCAGTGCTGGCAACAGCTTCCAAACACAGAGCTAACCGTGGCTGTGCACAGAGGCTGCAGTGCACACCCTTACAAAGGAAAAGGAGTTTACTTCCCTAAGTACCTTCCCTGTGCTGGGCTGTCCTCTGGCCAACTTCAATTCACAACCACCTTGGAGAACCATTTCCTCACGCTCAGCAGATCCCTGCCCATTATCCAGAAAACATTTTACAGCATTGTGCTGAACCCTGGACCAGTCACCCACACACCTGCCATTTAAGTAAGTTCTTCAGAGCTGGGATTCACTAACTACCAATGGTGCATTTGCCCAGAGAAAAGAGCTTCAGTTTTTCTGTATGCCACATGAAGCACAAGCCTACACAAAGCATTCTACCATCTCCCTTGTCTTGGGAATAAACAGACAGAATCCATTACAGGTAATTTGCTTACAAACTTGAAGAAATGCACATCAGAACAAACCAAAAAGCTACCAACAGTTGTGCATTTCTAGTTTTTAGTGCAGCCTTTTTATATGTTTTTTTTTTTAATTTTTCAAAGTTACAGTATGATACTTCATGACACAAAAACATTATTTTAACCTTTTTGTTTTGTTTAAAGTTACAGCCAGTACAGAAATCTTAGCTTTCAAAGCCTTGGCCCACACTGGAGTATTGGTACTTTTTCCATCTACCACGTGGTGCGGTATTCTGTCATGACAACGTTCAGTACTGAGGATTTGAAAACAGGCATTGCTGAAAGCCTCAGCTAACCTGCTACACCCTTGCTTCTCACAGATACAGAACCTCACCCTTCCCGCTCTCCCACGCATTAAATCGACTCTGTTGTCGTTACATGGGCCACTTCTACTTCCACGGTTTCGACGGCCTGGGTCACTTCAGCCATTTTCTGTCCCTGCTGCTGCGCCAGGACGTAATTCACCACCTGCATGATGCTCTGGTCAGACAGGGTAGAGACCGACGTGCACTCCTCGGTGGCCGCCACCGCCTCGATGGCCTCCAGCGTCTCTCCCGTCACCACCACGGTCTCGCCCTCGCCGGCGCCGAAGCTGATCTCGGCCTCCTGCTCCTGGATGTCGGAGGCCAGAATGCTGATGGCGTGCTCCACCTGCGTGCCCTGGTTGTGGAACTGCAGGGTGTCCTTCTCCAGCATGATCTTGCAGGGAATGTAGTCCCGGTGCAGCCTGGTCATGTGCTTGCGCAGGGTGCGGGCGTCGATGTAGGCCTCGCTGCAGACGGGGCACACGTAGGGCCGCTCGCCCGTGTGCGTGCGCACGTGGCGCTTCAGCGAGCGCGCGTCCGCCCACGCCACGCCGCACGTCAGGCACTCGAACGGCTTCACGCCTGCACGGCACAGCAGCGCGTCACCGAGCGGCCGGGGTGACAGCCACGGGACGGGGCAGGGATGGCATGAGAGGGGACAGAGCAGCGCGTCACGGAGCGGCCGGGGTGACAGCGAGGGGACGGGGCAGGGATGGCATGAGGGGGACAGGGCAGGGATGGCATGAGGGGGACAGAGCAGCGCGTCACGGAGCGGCCGGGGTGACAGCGAGGGGACGGGGCAGGGATGGCATGAGGGGGACAGGGCAGGGATGGCATGAGGGGGACAGAGCAGCGCGTCACGGAGCGGCCGGGGTGACAGCGAGGGGACGGGGCAGGGATGGCATGAGGGGGACAGGGCAGGGATGGCATGAGGGGGACAGAGCAGCGCGTCACGGAGCGGCCGGGGTGACAGCGAGGGGACGGGGCAGGGATGGCATGAGGGGGACAGGGCAGGGATGGCATGAGGGGGACAGGGCAGCGCGTCACGGAGCGGCCGGGGTGACAGCCACGGGGACAGGGCAGGGATGGCATGAGGGGGACAGGGCAGGGATGGCACGAGAGGGGACAGAACAGCGCGTCACGGAGCGGCCGGGGTGACAGCCACGGGGACAGGGCAGGGATGGCACGAGAAGGGGACAGGGCAGGGATGGCACGAGAGGGGACAGAACAGCGCGTCACGGAGCGGCCGGGGTGACAGCCACGGGGACAGGGCAGGGATGGCATGAGAGGGGACAGAGCAGAGATGGCACAAGAGGGGAACAGAGCAGTGCTGGCAGGACAGGGGAACAGAGCAGCGATGGCACGAGAGGGGACAGAGCAGCGATGGCACAAGAGGGGGACAGAGCAGCGATGGCACGAGAGGGGAACAGAGCAGCGATGGCACGAGAGGGGAACAGAGCAGCGATGGCACAAGAGGGGAACAGAGCCACAATGGCACTCTGGCCATGAACAAAGAGAGCCTGCTCACCCTTTCTGTGCAACAACACACTGCAAGCGTAGTGCATTCAGCAGTTAGATTTTCCAATACTCTACTTTAAAAACCTTTTCAAGATTCCTTTTAATGCAGTTTCTTCCTAATTTTAAGTGCACAATGCTTAATGGAATTCTGATCATTCTGATGCCTTTCTGAAGCCATGCTTTACTTCACATCACTTACATTTCTCCTCATCCCTTGCTTCTGTCAATTCTCTGCACACCTACAGCTTTATCCCTCCTCTTCACTGCTTATGTTCAAATACAGCACCTGATGTTTGTATGATCTTATTTTCCCTCGTAACATCTGAGTTCTGTGGTCTGTAATACCTAATGGGGCGTGTGGGTGGTGACAAACACCATCTCACTACTGGCTTTTCCTCTGTGACAGTTACTGTAGATTTAGGCTAGGTACCTACTACAGGACACTTCCTCTGTTTAGAAACAAACACAAAATCTTATTTTCAGAGCTCTTTAAAAGGAGACATGCTTCAAAAAAAAGTGGGTTTTGCCCTGGGACAGGACAATATAGACTCCCAACACAGCTGAAAAAACTAAATACTCAAAAATCCATTTCATACCTTACATCTAAAGTAAAAATGCACACAATTCTTTAACAAAAAATAGAAAATGTTTTCCTATTTTCTCCAAACATCATACAATTTATCACTTGTCATAAATTAGAGGAAGTTGATCAGTTTCCAACATCAGTCCAATTTTTTCTTTTTAAATTTAGGCCAATCATTCTCCTATCTGAAGAGTACTTTGTTAACTTGTGCGCCTTTGAAAATGGAGAATGTTTTAGTGCATCCAATTCTTTGCCAGATTTACCCCTCTTAGTCACTTGTAAAAATGTTCCTCTTCTATTCAGGATCTGAGGACAAATTGGCACAGTCCGTGTGTGACTGAAGCTTTAGAAAGAGCCTGACAGCAACTTCTGGGAATCGCTGACAGCAAGTTACCAAAGCAGGATTCACAGAAAACTGGAGAATCTGTAAAAAATCCTCCATGTCCTGCCAGACACCACACACAAAGACTCAAAGAAACAATTACCCCCTTGCACATTGTGTTTTTAGGGGTTGAGTGATGTAATGATTACTTGTGTTCTACATACCTTCATGATTGTTCATGTGTCTCCTATATTCCCGGAGTTGTGTGAATTTTCTTCCACAGTGCTCACAAACTCGTTCCAGATTTTGTTTTGCTCTTCCTTTTTTACCATGTGTGGCTTTCTTTACATGCCTTCTGTACAAAGCTTTCTCATAAAATTCTTTTCCACATACGTTACATCTAAAATGTGTTAAGTGAGAAATCTGTTATAACCATTATTGTACGCTTATGTCTTTTAAGCCAAAATGCACTTTATTTACAGTAGGCAAAGATAATTGGCAATACTGTCTTATATGGTTCCATAATTAGAAGTAATATTGTTGGCCCAAACTACATTTCCTCTTATCCACAGCCACAAAGCTTCCACTTGCCCTTCTAGAGAAGTGAGACCACGTAAGTTTGTAACTTCACATGATTGTATTTATCCTCTTATGACTTCTTGTCTTAGTCTCAGCACTGTGTCCCAGGTTAGCAGCTAACCCACACTATTTAAAGTCTCCCATCCACCCTCAAGTACTCAAGACCCAGTCACCATCAACCCATTGGTACTTCAGAAGTGGGCTAGGCAGTGCCTTGCTGACAGGCTGTGCATCTCCATAGCCTCACTTTGATCAGTATATTTCCGTTGTTAAATTAATTTCCTCTTACCTATAAGGGTCTGTGACAGAATGAGACTTTACATGAGAATACCAGTCTTTCTTCCAGCTGTAACATTTTCCACAGAACTGACACTGAAATGGCTTAACACCTAAATGTTTATTCATATGCTGCCGAAGATCCCGAGCTTCATAGAAACTCTTGTCACACCTGTAACAGCAAATGTTTTAGCATCCCATACAAGAAAGGCACCGGTTTCAAAAGTACTGGGACCCTATTCTTTAACAGCAACTGAAAACTGAGAACACCTAAGGCACCATCAGTATTTATTTAAAGCATAATCCCATTCTAAACTAGGAAAAATTAAAAAGAAGAGCAGCTTATTTGAAAGCCTGGAATAAAACTTGAGGACCTCTGAAACCCTTTTGTCTGTTATTGAGTAACTATATTCTTTCTGCTGTTTTAATGGGGACTAATCAAAAGCAAACCAACTGGGAGACATCAGGAACTTGTATTACAGCATATGAGGACACTAACAGCTGCTTCTTCCCTAAACCAAAGAGGACTGACACAAAGATAACTGGAATTTATTGTTTTTAACGCTCAAATGTAGGGGGTTTTTAGAAAATTAAAAAACCCCAAATTCATAATCCTGCAAGAAAGCACCTCAAAGTGTTGATACTCATTCTTTAGCTTGCTGCTTGTACACATCTTAACCCAGGCTAACTTATGCTTTTCCTTCACGTATGGCTTTCCTTCATTTATACTTTGCTGTAGTATGACTATACAGCTGCTCTTGGTATGAAGACTACAGAGTTTGGTCTAATCAAAAACATGGTTTCTCCCTTTGAAAAGAATTCTGCTGCTCATCCCTCTCTCTTCCTCACCTATCACATACGGCTGCATGACTCAAGAAAGGACAGGGGCAGAGCAGTGCCAGCGAGCAAAGGTGGCCAATCCAACTTCTGACAGAGCTTCCCAGGGACCTCATTGTGAATTCCAAAAATTAAACATTATTTTTCCTTCTGCAGGGCACTTGAAAGGTTCCCTATAGTCTGACTGGTCATGGAAAAAGTATCCATGTTTTGCTAATGCACTGAAAACACACTTTCCAGTTACTGTTTCTGCTTTGCTAAAGTCCACAATGCTGTCATGTAAATAATAATAAATGCCATTAATAATAAAAATACATGTCATTCATTGCAATATTTAAGTGGTCACATATGTTTTATAATCAAGAGATCTGGAACAGTCAGTGAGTCTCAGTTTGCAATGTTCCTAAACACAGCCATGTTTCAGCAAACACTTGCAGACTCTACAGGACAGCTTCAAACCCAACTGAAATCCACTATCACACTACAAGAGGGCAAAATCAGGCTGAGGCCCCTGGCCTCTTACAAGCTTACACTCTTTTATGTGTCCTACAAAAACCAGCTACTCATTACAGCACCAATTACAGTGCAAAGCCAGCAGAGAATAGCTGCATGGCACTAGAGCTAGGTAACAGCTTAAATCCAAGCCTTTATGCATTTTTTATTCTCACGCTTTCCAAGTCTTATCCCAGGCCAGTGGAACGGTTTTACGCTAAAACAAGGACCTTTACTAGGAACAACAATACCAAGAAAAAAGCTCACCAAAACCACCTGACTTACTGAGTACACTGATATCCACGAACTTCAGGCTTTGGCTGATGTTTCTTTATGTGTTTACTGAGTCCTGATGCCCTGTGGAAAGATTTTCCACAGATGGAGCAAAGATACTTGGATTCTCCTACCAAAAACAAAACAAAACATGTTACCAAGCCAGGCCTACATTTCTCTGGAGTGCTTTGTGAGACAGGTTTTTAATTCATATATAACTTACCTTAAGCAATCAGAGCAGTACTACAAAGACAAGTTTGTTTAATTACACACTGAGAGAATTTGTATTTTTTATGTTCTCATGTAATAATACACAAGGGGGCAGTAGCAACTCTAAATTACTTTATTTCATGTTTTTAAACATAGGTACATTGCTGCAACTATGATTTAGTGAGGAAAAGTGAGCAGCCTAAAAACCTGCCTTCTTGTGTGAAAAAAACCACGACTGCCTGTGTTTATGTATTATGCAACTTCTTCAGAAACACAGCATTGCTTATGGATTATTGCTTATATCTTGCATTTGTGGAAAAACACATTAAAATAAAAGTTTCTGATGCATTTCATCAACATAGGAGTGATGAGTACTAATACAAATTCCTTAATTTCAGGAACAAATTATCCTGAGTATCTCTCTTGACTCTGCCCAGCCCAGAAAACCAGAAACACACACAATCTTTACAAATTACAATTTTAAAACTCTGTTTGTATTGAATTATTATATTGTCATCTTTCACATGCTAAGATCTTTCAAGACACTAAGCTCTACAAAATGTCAGTACAGAAAATCTTGTAAAACAGACATGGAGAGATTTAACTTAACATGTTTTCCTCTAAAAGGACAGGCTGGGAGAGTAAGTGCATTAGAACCTTCCAGCCTTCTTGCCTATTTCTTGCTGAATCGACATGATACAGGCATTAAATACATACATAAAACCCCAGGAACAGACCAACCTGTTCTTGTATAGAACATTTGCATAATAATACTAAACTATGGTTTAGCCCCAGAAAATGACTACTTACCTCTATCTCAGCTGCCTGAGCAGAAGAAAAAGAACAAACTACCATTTATTTTTTAAACAGTTTCTTTTGACACTGAAGAACAACATTAAAGTTCAGCAGCACAAAATAGCCAAGCAAAGGAAAAGGATTTCCTTTCTCATCACTTACCTGTATGAATGCTCATGTGTTCCTGAAGACTTCTTTTTGTGACAAAAGACTTTTCACACAAATCACACTTGAACTGTTTCTGTACTTCATGGAGAGCTAAGTGCATTTTCAGTCCATGCTTATACGTAAAGGTCTTTCCACAGACCTAAAAAAAAATCCGTACGTGGTGAAATAGGACAAATCAAACTAATTATGTAATAGGTGTTTAACTTCAAACAGAACAGAATCTCCTGTATTTCTTGGGAACTAGAACAGCCAAGCCTGTGATTTTGCCCCAGTGACAGAACTAGCCTGTTAAAAAAAGAGGAATCATCGAAGGAAGACATTCTTCTAGACACAAGAATATGAACTTGCACAACTCAAATTCATTCTTGTTTTCTCACTCTTGGACTGCAAGCAATTCCATCATGAATGTTACACTGGTTCTCCCTATTGTGAAGCGATCAAGATTACCATAAATTTTAGGGCAGAGCATCAATACCAAAGTATTGGCAATAGAGAACATCACTGATCTGATGAAGAGAGCAAAAGGACTTTACCTTGCAGGCATGGGGTTTGACACCTGTGTGTTTAAGCATGTGGATTCTGAGGGAATAGAGCTTGGGCAGAGTTCTCCCGCAGATGTCACACACGAACTCCCGTTTGGTCCTCCCTTTGGCCGAGGACACGCCTGTCCCCTCGGCTCCCGCAGCGCCGGCTTCCGTCCTCCGCGTGTGCCGCACCAGGTGCGCCCGCAGCGAGGCCCCGTACTGGAACTCCTTCTTGCACAGCTGGACAGAAAACACCACAGCTTTACTTCGCATCTAACACTTTGAATTGTTAAAAAAACCACAACAGACGCAATCAAATGTTGTAAGTCCAGTAATATGATGAGCTAAATCTATAACCCAACTCCAACAGCCATTTTGTATGAGGTTAATGATTAGTTGTACATTTTTATTTTATGGCTATGGACAGAACCTCTGATCACTTCCCAGTGAGACTAACTTCCAGACTAGACTAAACACAAATTTACTGGTAGGGTTAAAAGCAAATCCCATGCTAGCATTGCCTTTAGCAGCAAGTCACATACTACTGCCAGGCCAAGTGGCTGCACTCCATTCTGCCTCACTTCACCCAGATCAAGGCTATATTCAACTCTGAAATTGGTAAGGAAAATAAATATACATACCAAAAAAGGCAACAAAAAGAATTACTAATATAATTACAGAATCATTTTTTGTAAGGAGGAAGGTTTACACAACCCCAAGAAAAGAAAACAACCCAACCCCTCAACTTACTGGGCACTTATATTCCTTAGATCTCTCGTGTTTCAGCGTGTGCATTATAAGTGCATAGCGCCGCTGGAACACCATTCCACAGTCAGTGCATTTGTGCTGCGCTTCCACTTCGTTATTTTCCGTGGTCTCTCTTTTGGGCTGTTTCATTTTTTTCCCTCTTTGTACCAGCTTCATGGCAACCTAAGTTGGAAAAACAGAACCTCTGAATGAATTTTACTGCATTGTACTTCATACCTTGTCTGACAGTTTATACTAAAAGCTGATGTTCTGTGTTTCTGTAATACCTCTTAATTTTGCTTAGCTGACTTAGCTGCTTGAAAGTTGCCTTGTTCACTACCAAACTACAGATCTCAAGGTGAGCGAAAAACTATTCTTTTTTAAAAACCATAAACTTACTGTGATGATGGCCACACAGTGACTTACCAGTTCAGGGACAATGAACTCTTCAGCCCTAACTGCCTAAGTGACAGCTATGGGATAGTTAAAGAAGAATCACAGAATACTGCCAGTCAGGATTTCTATCAAGTTGAGAGCATTCCAGCTTTCCTAGAGATTTTTATCTAGGCACCAAAGGGTTTTTTTAGGTGGCATTGGCAGTGCTACCTGGAACTGATAATCTCATCTTCCTTTGTAGAAACTTGCTGCCAAATTCTTTAGAAGCCAAATTCTAAGTGATCAGGTTGAAATGTCCTGTATCAGATGTGTCCCATTTGGGTTCCTGAGAATAAGGCAAGGGAAAGAAGTACCAGCATCCCAATTTCTTCATCCTGTTCTCCCAACAGTTGCAGACAGGTAGAAGAATTAAAAAAGAAAGGCTGTATGAAATCAAGGCCTCAAGTGAATAAAGATTCGGCTTTTCCCGCACGCAGAAAATGCTACAGTTTCTACCTACCAGGGTGTTGTAATGATAACAAATTATTGTCCTGTGTGTGGGATTGGTGGCTCTAGTATGCAAAAATACTCTCAGGACTCCTCTGCAAACTAACAGTTCTTCAGAAGACTTAGCCAACATGCAGTGAAGTGCACTCTGTCACAAACTAAATGCATGAATGCCCAGGGAGATGACTGTCAACTATCCAAAGGCACTGAAAGAGGAAAGGCCCTCAAAGGGGAAAGAGTAATAAGACTGTTTCAATTAAAAAAAAATTGTAACTAGAACTAGTTCAATTACTTAACATTATGTTCAGGTGCTAGAGTTTTTAATACCAGTGCTTTTTGAACCTTTTTCTTAATTGACCCCAATCAGAAGGTAGCAGGAATGCATTGTGACTCATGATTACATCTTAAGATCTACAAGGGATGTAGAATTTTTCATTCCCAATGCTGTTGTCAAGTCTGAACAAATGTAGGATCTCACTTCTCTAATAGGTAAATGTATGTATCTGTGACTGACATACACATGAGCTAGCTCAGAATTAAATTCACAGATCATTAAGAGTTTTGGGGAGATGATACAACTTCTGTCCAAACGTAAGAAGCTGTGAGAAGATACTGTGGCCACTGTGCATTCTAAGGCTCTTCAATATGGAAGGAATACTGATGCCAAGCCAATACTTCTGGGATTTTGTTTGCCCAAATGTCACAGCTTAGAAATGACTCTGGTAACTACAGGGTCTAATGACAGACGTAATACCTGCTGCACTGCAGATTTAGGATTTGTCTTTCTATTCTGCAGTTTCTTTTCAATTCCTTTATGCAGCCTGATGTATCCCCCCTCAGTGACTGAACGCTGGCGAAGCTTGCTTTTGTAAGTGTCATCCTGGCTGGAAGTGATGCTTTCTGGCTGGGGTATGGAGCTGCTCTGCCCATTACTTTTTTGCTTGAGTGTCTCTGAGGAGTCTTCAGAAGCAGAGGCCACATGTGCTTTATCACTCTGATTTTGCACTGTCTCGGTTTCCCTTTGGCTCTGTGTGTCCATGGCCTCCACAACTGATGGCTCAGTGCTGAGTCTGCTGTAGAGGCTGTTTGCAACGTTCTCCACCAGCTGGATCTTGATGTAATTTTCAGCTGTTTCACACTGTTCCACAGGCTTGGAAAGATCACCTGCAGGGGCCTCCAGAGGCTCTGGGTGCAGGAGGTCAGGCTGGGGTGCTGCTGCCTCCTCTGTCCCAGCAGAGGAAGGAGCTCCATTCACAGCTACTGGCACTTCACTGGCTGTGAGTTTAGGCTGCTCAGCACCATCCACGGGCTGCACCTCCACTTCAGCCTGCTCTGATAGATTTTGTGTAGACTCCACTGTTTGAATATCTCCCTTTTGATACACAGTAATTTGTTTCTCTTCCATCTGCTTGTGCACATTCTCACAGATTTCAAGGACCTCTGACATGAAGAGATGCCGGGCGAGCATGGCCACTTCTGCCATGCTACAGAAGTCAAACGTTAGCTCTGAAGTATAAGCAAATTCCAGTAAAGGCAGGAAACTGGACTTGCAGAAACCTACCAGGAATAAAACAAGATATTAGAGTAAATAATGATGACCCGAAATTACCCCAAAATATCCCATGATGAATACAACAATTCACCTTTGATACATTTAAGCCTGAAACTTAGAGCAAAACACACTTGGAAATAACAAGCCCATCACTGGCACTCAATTAATTTGTCATTTACACTACAGCTTTCTCCTCACACAGTTTCCATGTATGGGAAAGCTCAGACAACTTTTCCAAAAACTAAGTAGTACTTAAAGAGTTTCACAATAGGAATATTTCAAGATGCTGGGAGAGCCACAATACTTTTGGAGCAGATTAGCTGAACCAAAGACTTTCTGGATCTGCTACATTCAGAAAGTACTCGGGTCTTAAGTAACAAGTGATGTGGTAGAAAATAAGGAAGTAGCTATTGAAAACAATAAAAATATGGACATATAGATAGAAATGCTGAAATATAAGAATTTGGTATAATTGTCCACAGTTACATAAATAATAAATCAAATATTTAATGTGGGGAACCTTCTGGACTATCCTATTAGGGAATTATTGTTCATGCCGAGAAAGACAGTTAATAAATGAGAAAGCAATGAAGAAGGCATATGTTCTGTACACTGTTCTTCATCACTACAAAGCTATTTTTAGAACATATATTTTAGCTCCTGTCTTTCATGTACCAGGTCTGAGAAACAAGCAGACACATATAATTCTGCTTCACAGAAATAAGAAGCAATTTAGCATTTGTTAAGCTGAACAACTCTCCAAGCAGCTTGTCAACATCCCCACTTGATGTACTCAAGCGTTCGACTTTGTTCCCTTTTTAACATTTGTGACTAATACAAGGAGGAAACATGCCTAAGCAAGGTAAAAATCCCTCAAAAGCTTCTCAGAAAATTTAAGGTTAAATACCACAGTCCATGGAAAATCACATTAGGCAAAATCAGAATGATCACTTTTGCATTACAATCCACACAAAATACTTCTAGATTAAAAGAGAGAAAAAAGCAAGATAAAATCTGGTTGTCTTTAACACTGAAAAAAGACTGAATTAAATACCGTACACCTTACTTAGGATATTATTGATTTCTAGCTTTGAAACCCACAGCAATTCACCTGAGAGATCCACTACAGCTTCATGACTAGTGACAGCTCCCTTTTCAATGAAGAGCTCTCGGAAGTACTCGCTGCTGGCTGCCAAGACAGATTTGTGAGCTTTGTACTCCTCTCCTTCAATCAGCAAAGTCACATCACAGAACTGATTGGAAAGTCTCTGCTGATTCAGCTGGTTTAAGACTGACAGACAATGTTTGGAAGATGACTGCTTCACAAGGCCCTTACTGTCAACCTGTCATAAACAACATTTGAGAACTTCATTACATTTAGATTGTGCCTTTTTAAGCATTCACACTGAAACACAGAAAAGGATTATTTTCTGCAACCATACAATCAGTTCGAGCCTGGAGCTTTTTTTTTTTTTACTATTGTTTTATTTCTTTAAGTTTCACCCTCCCTCCAAACACAATTAAAACCAACTGGAAAAATGGGAAGACACATTCAAACAGCTCTTTGACTATACTTTTCTATGTTACAGTCTGAAAAAGTTTCTAAATTCAAATGTCTTTATGTGCATGTGAGTCTGCAGTTATGAACAAGAAGTTTACATATCAGTATAGCATCATGTATTAAGAAAAAGATATAGAGCCCCTAAGAATCTGGTATGTGATGTTTTACTACTGCCATTCACTTTACCTTAGATTCTATATGTGTAATATATAGGGTGATTTTATTTCCCAGCAATGGTGTCCTGTAATTAATTTCATTACATATTCACCAGTATCCCATTTCTACATATTCAATATCTTTGGCAAAATTTATAGTCTTGCTGTGACAAGATTACCACAACAATGGAAAAGAAGTACATGACCAAGAAAGCAGTAATAGAAAATGCAAATCTATTCAGATGTAAACAGTGGTACTTACAAACACAAGCTCGTGCTTTGCTATTGGCTTCTTCTTCACAGGCTTTGGGGATGCTGCTGGGATTGATGCTGCATTACTCAATTCATCATCTGTTTCATTACTGTCTTCATGAGATTTTGCATCCAGTCCTAGCTCCTCCAGCATTTCAGAAGGATCTGAGAGAGATCTAGAGCGATCTAGCTTTTCCTGGCACTTGCTGCATTCTTTAATGTAATCTTTAACCTGCTTAAGAATACCTACGAAAAATTAATGGAGCTTGATTAGGCTTCTAATCTTAATTCCATCTACTGTAAAAAAATAACTATGTAGAAGATTAGCAAAATATCAATAACAATAAAGAAATATTACATACTAACCAAGAAAAATAAAGCCAGTCACCTACACTCCCCCTCTCTAATGCAATATTACCAATTCTATTGTCTCACACCATTGCATGATATTGTATGTCTCTACTGCTAATTTGAGATAGAACATGTAGAATACCACTACATCAAGCAAACCCTCCTAGAAAGGTTATTAAGGCTAAAAAAAAATACAACACGATATTTAGACATTTAGCCTCACCATCCCAAGGTAATGACAATGTAATATAATCCTGTATTTAGCCCACACAAATGGCTTGCTCCTCCTGAAGAGGACAGGAATTGGAAGGCTCACTTACAAGCTTTAGCAAAATTGGGATCAATGGTGCTACATGCAATGACACTGATGGGAACTATTAACACTGATTTAGAATTGCTTATGATTTGGGGATTTAAATAAATCAATTTCCCACCGCTACTTTAACCAGTGGAACTAAATATAAACGAGAGCACCCAAGGAAATAGCCTGCATTTGTGTCAGGGGAAGTTTAGGTAGGATATTAACAACAGGTTCTTCATCCAGAGGGTGTTTGGGGCCTGGAACAGGCTCCCAAGGAAGCAGTCACAGCACCAAGCCTGACAGAGTTCACAAAGTGTTTGGACAATGCTCTCAGGAATGACTCTTGTGCCTTTTGGGGATGGTCCTGTGCAGGGCCAGAAGCTGTATTCAGTGATCCTTGTGGGTCCCTTCTCACTCAGCACATTCTGCAATTCTGTAAATCATTTCAGACACTCAACAGGTCCTAGGTGCAGGTCCTCTTCTAGATACCAAGGCATTTTCCATGCATGGCTTTCAATCCAAGTTCGTTCCCTTTACCAGGACAACATAAAAGCATACACAGCAGGTGGGCCATGGTTTAAAATCCAGCACAGCTCAAAAGCTTTGCTGACACAGACTTAGACTTGCTTGCTCACACCTCCTCAGAGCATGACTTGCACTATCATTAAATACCTGTCTCTGCAAGGATGAGGAAAACAGAGACGTAAGGCAAGCTAAGATATTAATGCCCATTTCAACATCTGTACATCTCATTATTTCATTTGAAATCAGACAGGAGGTCTCTGGCCTGCAAATCACATCTCTAACACCTTTCCTGGCCTCGGAGCCATTCTCCAGCCCACGGCCTTGCAGCTACAGAACAGACACACAGCAGGCTGATGTCCTTCTCAGGATGGCAGCTGGGCCAAAGCTGCTGTCCATAGCAGCCAGGGAGAACTGTCATGCCTGGGAAAACAGTGTCTTAAGGGAGACATATGTAAGAAACATAACACTTGAACTGAAAGCATGGAATGAATTTTAGTATTCTCAGTGTAAGAGAAGCAAGAGGATTTAGGGTGTGCAAATAAAGGTGACCAAAAGAAAACAGAACGCCTTCTCCTGACTAACAGAAGCTACACTGAGGCCCATGGAGAAAGTTTCCAGCACAGGACAAGAGTAGATGCCAGAACAGTACAATGCTGGGCAGACAATGAGAATGAGAATAAAGGCAAGGAAACAAAAATGGGTGTATCAGCTTTGAGATGCCAAACCCTTTCTTCACATGAAAATACCTTCAAGTCAATGAGATCTGGACTGGAGGGATTGGCTGCAGCTAGAGCAAAATCCCTCCAACTGAAAATAGGGAAAACTAAAGCTGAAATTACAGACTTGCTGATGGATAAAGAGAGCAGAACAAGAGAAGCAATACAAACACACACTGGGCCCATGGCAAGTGAAAAGCAGGCTATTTGTTTCATGGATACCTAGGGCTAACAGCAGAACAGCAAATCCAAAGGGAACAAGATATGGAGTCATTCCCTCAGGCAAAATAAAATCCCAATTGGAAATTATTGCTGTTCAGGCACCAGCATTTGTAACAGCAGTGACATCACTCGGGACCCAGCTGAGAATTAGCCTGGTCTCTTCAGCTTCTCATTGCAAGAAGGAGACAAATAAAACAATGAGTGCCAGGACTGCCAACTGGCAGCTGCAGTACTTTAGCACCATCACATGCACGAATGAGGTCCAAAGCTAACCCAGGTGACGTGGACTGGATTATCACCCTATCCCAAGGGCACAGTGTGGATGCCACTGCCTTACCTGGGCTGCGTGCAGGACCTGCAGGGGACAGCTGTACTCAGTGTTTCTACCTATTCAAGGTGCCAGCACCCGATGAGAAGCCTGGACAATGTGCTGACCAGGCTGTAGCTTGCAGGGTGAGCCCTGCCTCTCGGGCTGTGACACAATGTCACTGCCCGCACGCCACGTGCTTCCAGGCGGCGTTTAAAGGCTCTGGTCACTCAGCGAGTGACAGTCCCCTCCTGTGCCGCCAGGAGGGCACACGGAAGGGAGACCTTCAGCAGAAGGGAGACCTTCAGCAGAAGGGAGACATGCAACTCCGGGTACAGCGGAGGGCAACGAAGATGGTTAAGGGACCGAATCATCTCTTTACGAGGAAAGGCTGAGGAAATGCGCCCGCTCAGCCTTGAGATGAGACGACTGAGAGGGGACCGCATTAATGTGGGTAAATATCTAAATAGAGTGCCAGGAGCATGGAGCAGGTCCCGCTGGTGCCAAGCAATGACACGAGGAAGGGAAACTAACGCACGGGAAGTTCCAGGTGAGAACACGAGGAGCTAGAACAGCACCAGAACGCTCCAGTGCAGGTGCCGGCGCGCTGGCCCGCCCCAGGGGAGATAGATGCCCGGAGCCGTGCGGGGCTCACCTCTCCACCAGTAGCGCTGGGACAGCCCGTGCCAGGTCTGCAGGCGGGTGCGGTGCGCGCCGTCGGGCGCCAGGTGCGCGGCGCGGATCAGGCGGGCGCGGCGCTCGGCCTGCAGCACCACCTCCAGCTCGGCGAAGCGCTGCTGGTCGCGCTGCCGCCGCTGGTAGTACAGCGTGCCGCCGCGCACCACGTAGCAGGCGGCGGCCTTGCGGATCTTCCGCTTGGCGTTGCCCTCCGTGCCCGGCGCGTACGGCTCCCGCTCGTTCGTCAGGTACCGCAGGATGGCCAGGTAGCTCTCCTCGCTGGACATCGCGCCCTCGGAGCCGCGCCGGGGCTGCGGAGGAGCCTCCCGGGGTGGGGGAAGGGGGACGGGGGTCGGGATGGGCCCCGGCCCGGCGGGAGCCGCGCCGGGGGGGAACTGGAGTGTCGCGGCCCGCGGCGGCAGGAGGGAGGGAGAAGCTCGGGCAGCGGCGGCGGCGGAAAGACAAAATGGCTGCTGCACAAGCGGAAGTGAGGCGTGCCGCGCGCGCGCGGGAGGGGCCGGGAAGGGGCGGGGGAGCGGGTCCGCCATCTTGGAACCGGGCAGGCGACAGCCCGGGCGCAAGGCGGGCCGCCATGTTGGAATCGGGCAGGGGGCAGCCCGGGCGCAAGGCGGGGCCGCCATGTCGGAATCGGGCAGGGGACAGCCCGGACGCAAGGCGGGGCCGCCATGTCGGAATCGGGCAGGGCAGAAGCCCGGGCCGCCATGTCGGAGCCGGGCAAAGCCCGCCGCGGGGCGCGATCGTGGTGGCGGAGCCGAGGGCGCTCCCGAGGGAATGAATCCCTGGAATGAATCCCTGGAATGAATCCCTGTGCAGCCCCGGCTCCCAAACTGCAGCAGCGGCTGCTCCGGGGGCAGGAGCTGCCAGGGACACGCGTGCCCATCAGGAGCTGCAGCAGCGCCGCAGCCACGCCCCGGGGCGCTCGGTGCGCGCTGCTTGTCCGTAAGGGGCAAGAAACAAAATCCTTTACAAGGCGCGTTTTGCTTGTCCGAGCTGTGCGCTGGTTTTTACACACGTAAGAGACACGCCAGGCAGGAGCCGGGGGCTGTGGCTGTTTCCCATTCCCATTTCCCATTCCCATTTCCCATTCCCACTTCCCATTCCCAGTTTTCCATTCCCATTCTATTCCCAGTTCCCATCCCCTCCCCTGCGCTCGGTACCTGCGGGACGCACGGGGAGCACCGCGGTCCCCACACACAGATACCGACCGGACTGGGCAAGGCCGCCCAAAGGCGCTGTTCATGTAGAAAAAGGGTTCTGAATTTAGTTTTTCGGTTTAACAATGGCACTGGTCGAATACTGGAACAGGCGCCCTAAGAAAGTCGTGGAATCTGTCCTTGGAGTTGTGTTCAGGACTCAGCTGGCCATCTAAACAGACACGTTTTCAACAGAGTTGGAGTGGATGTCCTTTCTAACCTAAATTATTTCACTTCTGTGCACCACTGCAGCGACACCAGGCAGCCAAAGCCTGCAAATTTCAAAGCTTTAACAAATACTAACTTATTAATTAGTCGTATCTGCCAATCAGTTTCTATATATATCATTAATGGTATTTCAAGCTGATGGTAAAAACTCATTTTCAGCTTCTTAGCTGAAAACATTCGCAAGGACACATTCATGGTACCACTGTACAAGACAGTGATGTGATTTTTATAATCGCCACTAGCACGGGTAATATTCAGAGGTGTTTTCAGCCTTCAGTATTAAATTATTATAATTCCTTTCCCTCCTAACTACAGGCAAGTTTTTTTTTTTTCCTCTCTTTTCCCCTCATTTCTGGATCCTTTGCTTTCAAATGTGCTAACTAGCCTCCAATTTCTTTCTAAATAAGTAGCGCTGGGTTTTGTTAATAGCAAAAAGCGAAATTGTTTGGAAGATCATGGTGCAGATTCAATTAGTATCATCAAGCTAGACTTTAAATGGGTTGTAGCCTTCATCCATACCCGTATCTATTTTACTAAAACCCAAACAAGGTGTAAGTACAGCCCATAATCCACAGTGCCCATTAGAGCCATTGTTTTTGAAGCCCAGGACTGCACGAAGTTGAAATACAGCTGTCTCCTTGACTGGTTGTAAGGTAACAAATCAAGCCCTCAAAGGATCAACAGAAAACTAACTGATACAGACAATAGTGAAGGTTTGGTTTCTGTTTTGGTTTTAGTTAGTCAGGATATTGCTTTGCCAAGGCCATTCCTGTCCAGCAAAACAGGCAAAGTCTGGGCAAGCTGTCTGAATAGTGCAGTTACTTAGGCAGACACAGGAACTCCCATGAGGAATTTCAATCCCTCTAGCAGTGGGAGGGTGGAAAATTACTAAGGGAGCCCCTATCTGCATTCAGCAAGTTAAATATGAACCTAAATGTGCTTTAACTGCGTAACATCAGCTGCATTTGAAACCAAATCTTCACATTTCCTTTTCCTGACAACAGCTTCCAGCAAGTCATCATTTTGGAACTTCCTGACACAGAAGTTGCATCTGAATCTTTGTGTGTAAGAGTCATGCAGTCTGTGAAACCATCCCTTCATTTTTTTTTACCTTTTCCATATTTGATTCTCTGTATCTTGCCACATGCATTCCACAAGACAGGACCTTTGTAAGTAATCTGCAGATGGTGTTGCTTCACACCCCCTTTTAGCTTGCATGTATCTCTGCTCTTAGAAACCTCTTTTATGTCACTTGTCATAGATGCAGAATAAACTTAGAAGCTGTTCTGTCCTTCAGGCAAGAACATTCCTCAAATACCAGCTCCATCTTCCCTGCTACCTGAACCACTCAGTGAAGACTGGGCGGACTGTCTAAGACTTGAAACATTTTAACGCAGAAGATCCTTTTCAGTTTGCAAAACCCAGACATGGTCATTTTACAGATTCGTTCCCTTCAGTGTATCTCACACAGCTGCGCAGACCATGGCACAAGTAATGGAATTCCATCAGGTTTATTCGGCATGACCAACAGTTTGGCAAGTTAGCGCTTCCCACCAACACGGGGAGCAGAAACCTTCACTGGTTTCACTATCTTCTGCTTAGGTGCTGCCTTCGTAGGGGCCTGCAGAGAAATAATGAAGTATGAATGAAAAGAAGCTATTTATCTGCAGTCCTAAAAGTGTCTTTGTATGTACTCTTCACAGAAATCAGATCAGACTAGAATTGCAATCTGTAATATCTGGATCATGTTAACAGATGTTTACACACATAATGCTAAGCCAAAATCTGGTACTAATTAATAAATGATAATGAAACACATGGTAGCACTCATCAATATATGGTTACCAAGTTCCTAGATAGTGAAGATGTCACATTCAGACAAGTTTTTAGCTATTAATTATCTCTGATATTAGGTCAGAGAGTTGTTTTGCTGTAATACTTATTCGGTAAAAAGATTCATTCTGTGCAGCTGTGAAGTTACAAAAATGCTTCCTCAAAACAGAAACAGGAATTTCCAATGAAGTGCTACAGCAGAACGCTGTGTGTCATGGTACAACATGGTGTATTCCATCTTATAATTCCTGTTCGCCCATTGCATCTCACCTTTGCAGCAGAAACAGCTGTTTTCTTGGTTGCCTGCTTCGCCTTCTTGGCTTCCTTTGCAGCCCTGTTAATTCACAGAAAAAGTGCAAGTTATCCGTGTCTGCCCTGCACTGTTTCCTTGTTTCAGTACTGTAAGAGCTTCCCAAGATTAAGGAATGGAATGCATTCATGCAGATTTCTCCTCTATATTCACTATCCCCTGAAGGAATTTCTACAGAGACAGCGGAACTGTGAGTGACAGAAGTACAAAGGGAAAAGGCAAGGAGAGATCCTGCTCTGCTGCCACTATCTCTTGCCAAGATTACTTAGCATTACATACAAATATACAGATTAAAAGAAACAAAACTCCCCACAAAAATCTTATAAAACACAGAGCTCACCTAGAGTTTAAGCTTTTGTATGAAAAGTACTGTAGTCTTTGAAAAGCTTGGGATAGCTCCACTGATCTGACTTCTCACCTAATAGCTTGTTCCCTCTGTGCCTTTCGTACTTCGGGCTTCTGGTTCCGCTTGGCCATGATCTCAGCGAGAGAGGCACCAGTGATGGCTCTCTGAAACTTCACAGCACGGCGCGTGCGCTTCTTCTGGACCTCTTCCTAAGAGGGCACAGACAACACAGACAATCAGCAGCACCAGACATTCCACACGTGGCTGAAGGCAACTGTGGAAACAAGCTGCTGCTCAAATTGAAGCTATTTAAAACTGTACACCGCAGTAGAATTTTACTCCTCCCTTTAGAGGATCCTTCTGTTGGGTACAGAGAAGTGCTGCCCTACCTCCATGGGGTCCCTTCTCCAGCCACATCCTGTACTTTTCATAGTGTGTTATTACCAACATGGTTGGCTCCCCAGCTATCAGTGCTGGAGATATACACATCACACCTTGTATCTTCTATGATTCTACAGCAAAGTATGAAAAAAAATATTTTGAAAGAATGTTAGAAGTTCAGCCATCTGTAACTCCCAGAAGAAAAAAGGGTGGGAAGGATAAATCTTTGATGGTGCCTTCTGAAAGGAGAACACTCCACACCTATTCATGTGGATCCAGTGCTGGGAGCAGTGTAAGCCATCATGCATCAACTTTCTTCAACCAAACTGCCAAGAACACTGACCTACTGCACTGATGTAAGCCTTTCTCAAAGCTCCTCTTCTGTGCCAGTTTAAATAAGAGCACTGCAGCATACCTCATTCTACATGCCTTCATGATTTATCCTTTTCATGCAATGACAGCTACACAGGAAAAGACCTCATGCTAAACTACAGCCCAAAGTCTTCAAGAAGAGTGTATTAGGAGTGTCATCCCTGCCCCTCTAACCCCAAAATCAGCTCCCTATGCTGACACCATTGAGAAGTTTACCAGACCAAACTTTTAGGAAGTCTGCATATTAAACAGCATTACCCACCTTCCCTAAAGCTAACTTTTAAAAACATGGAATTCCCTGATCTGATTTACTGAACATCCTGTGGCTCTGAGTAGTCTCTCAAAGAAGTGCTACAACACAATACAATGCTTTTGTTGAAGTGATGTATAAACTCATGTAACTGCACGCACATTTTCACCATTATTAACTTCTGCTTCTGCTGAACACTGGCACACTTAAGTGACCTCTAACAGACCAGTGACCACATCTTTTGGTCACAAGCAGTGCCATGAACTGGTGTGTACTTACTGACTGTCCCTTCTTGTGCTTACGCCTGTACAGAACAGTCCAGTTGATCTGACGAGGGTTTCTCTTGGAAAGGAATGCAGACTCACATTTTGCATTCAAGAACTGAAAAACCTGGGAAGGCAAAATGTTTTGTGTAAGCTTTGTTTCCATGAAAGACGTTATCACAGTTTGCATTAAGTATTCTTTGAGTCAGTGTTTTTCAACATTGGTGCTTTTGGAGCTCTTAAGCACAGCTCTGACTATTCAAAATTTTAGCAGGTAACTCAAGAAATCTCAAGCTTTGCATTTTGTTACATTGGTCGAAACAATGTCTTGCAAGGCATTCTGAAGCATCTTCATTTTTCTGAAAAAAGTTCAAGTAACTACTTGCATCCAGTGCTGCTGTATATTTCAGGCACAGCATGAATAGCTGTGTCCAGAATCATGCTCTCCAAGTGTCTGTCCTCAAGCAACAATGTACTTCCTGTATGTGAGAGTGACTCAAAACTTGGCCTAGGGAACAGAGGGAGACCAATGCTCACCTTCTTGGCTAGTCACACTAACCTGTTTGTCTAAATCAACAGGCAGAATGTGCAAGCTGGTTTGTTATAAGCTATATAATTCCATTTAAAGTATAAGCTAATTCCCAGGAGTGCTCACAAGGATTTAACCAGTCTATCTCCTGGTCGTTTTGCTGGGAATTCCACGGAGAAAGCTGACTGTACTGGGATACTCAAAAGCCAAGCCCTCCTTCCACAGGCAGGGACAGTCCTCTCTGCGTATGACATGACAGCTTGAGGGGCTCTCGACCCTAGTTTACCTCATAGATTTCTACTCAATTAATTTGTAAGACATGCTGCCGGCACCAGCGAATCTTAGCATTTGATGCAGGGCGTCTAAGCACCATTTTCTACACAACTTTGGTACTTTACACCTGCTGCTTTAAGACTCCCTTTGAAAAATACATTCTAAAACTCAGCCCCAAGCTACAGCGCCAGAGGTTCTCCCGTCCGCAGGGCCCGCTCCCGCCCCGGCCTCACCTTCCCGTCCGTGCGGGCGTAGCGGCGGCCATGGCCCGGGTAGATCTTGTACCCGCTGAAGCTGCACAGCTCGACCCTGCGCGGGAGAGAAGAGTTAGAGGAGGGCGCGGCTGGCCGGGGGAGGCAGCCGGAGCCCCGCGGCGGCCTCCCCGCGGCGGATGGCCGCGGATGGCGGCGGATGGCCCGGCCGGGGCGCTCACTTCATGATGGCGGCGGCGGCGGCGAGAGGCCGGAGGGGCGGAGCGGGAGGCGGGAGGCGGGAGGCGGTGTCGGAGCGGCGCGCGGCCCGACGGGAGCGGAGTGGGCCGAGCCGGGCCGGGCTGGGCCGGGCAGGGCCGGGCAAGGCCGGGCTGGGCAGTGCCAGCCCCGCCGCACCGCGGCCGCTTCCCGGAGCGCTCGCCCGGCCGGGCCACCCCGGGGGAGTCCCGGCCGCGGGACCCGCCGCTCTAGCCAGCGTAAAAGGCGCGGCGCTCCCGTGGCGGAGCGGCCCGGCCCATCGCTGCCCGGCGGTGTTGTCAAGCGCGGGGCATGGCGGCGGCCGGTGCCGAGGCCAAGGCCGGGGATGAGGCGGCCGGAGCGGGTAAGGGCAGCCTCGGATAGGTGCCGGGGGCCGGCAGGGCGGCGATGGTGGGGGCTGCGGGTCCCGAAAAGCGGTGTGGTACTGGGGGTCTCGGGGTGAGGGGCCGGCTCGGCCGCTCCGCCGGCCCTGAGGGCTCCGCGGGGCGGGAAGCGGCCGAGGCGGCGCGGGGCCGGTGAGGGCACCCCGGGGCCGGTGAGGGCACCCCGGGGCCGGTTAGGGCTCCGCGGGGCCGGTTAGGGCTCCGCGGGGCCGGTGAGGGCTCCGCGGGGCCGGTGAGGGCACCCCGGGGCCGGTGAGGGCACCCCGGGGCCGGTGAGGGCACCCCGGGGCCGGTGAGGGCACCACGAGGCCGGTGAGGGCACCCCGGGGCCGGTGAGGGCACCCCGGGGCCGGTGAGGGCTCCGCGGGGCCGGTGAGGGCTCCGCGGGGCCGGTGAGGGCACCGCTCCCCGCCCTGAGGGGCGCCCCGGCTCCAGGCAGGACCAGCCGCTGTCCATCGTGCTGGAGGGTCCCGCCGCTGTGTAGAACCTTTACAGGCCGGGATTTCAATGATATAGGGCCCGTTTTCCCTAGAGGGGAGCGCCGAGAGGTCTTGGAGATAGCGCCGCTTCTGGGGGGTTCCTTGCTACCTGCCAAACGAGAAATAGGCGATTTTGAAATGTTTTCCTGGGTCCTGGGTCAAATTCAAATTTTTGAATTTCCTGGGTCCTGAAAGCCTATTAGGAAAATCTCGTTCCCCAGGTATTATATTAATTAAGTCTTTCTGGAATGGAATAACAATAATTTCGTAGAGTTATACGTGTGTATATAATTCATGAATCGCCATGCTTAAGCAAGCAAAGTAAAGCTTGTTGCAAGAAGGACAGATGATGGTGAAAGAGAGACCTATGCTTCTCTGAATCTTGAAGGTGCTCATAAAGGATACCCCCAGACAAGGGAGATAACACCACTGTGAAAACCTTCATCAGCATCATGGAGAAGTGATTATAGCAAGTCTGACTGCAGGGATGTCTAGTTCAACAGCAAAGCAGCTGGATGATGTTGCCATAGAAATACAGGTTCTTTGCAAATAGTTGTGTGTATTAAGTAGGAATTGGATGATATTATACTTGAATGCTGGAAATCTATGAGAACTGTGTGTAAAGCCACATTCTGAGTGCCTCAGAATGTAACATCTTTTTTAGAAATCCATATTCTCTAACTGACAAAACGGTACACAAAAAATGTTTGTCTCCATCCATAGTGTAACTAAGCCCTAAAAACCTATAAACTATAATATTGAGTAAGAACACTATTGGGGATATGTTGCTGAAAACTGAAGCATTATTAACTTAACAGATATTAAAAGCTAAAGAAGCACTAAAGTGATGTTTGTACATCAAATATGCAGCAGAGGCTTAATGTATGAAAATTATTCTGATTATCAGGTGTCACTTTGAGTACCCAGTGATTCAAGCTCCCTGTAGATGGCATATGTTTGCCTTTTAACTTTATGTTGTGACCCTTTCTGCATGGAACGTTTGAATTGTGTGTTGCATTAAGTAAATAGTAGGCTCTCCCATGTACAGTTTGTTCCTCCCAATGCCCCCAGTACGTAGTATGGCTGCATGGATGGCTTCTTAGTTTAGATAGAATGCTTACACATAGTTGTCAAGCTGCTCAAAACTTAATTTAGGCTCTTCTGAAATTTGGGGTTTTGAGGATCACACCTTTAAATTTAGCTACCAGAATTTTGCTGCATCTCACTTCAAAGGATCTGTTGTGATTTTCCCAGAATTCTGCCAGAGTTTTTAATTGGAACATTGTCTGGTATGTATATTTTCCAGTAACTGGATCAGTTACTCTTAAAGTGTTCAAGCTGAAGTAATTTGCTTCAGCTTTACATGGAAAAGAAAATGAATAAATTTTTCCAAATTATCTGCATATGTTATAAAACAGATCTTTTTGTCTTGTGTTGCTTTTCCAGTACACGTTCTCATATATAAACTTTGTGGTGTTTTTTTATTGTTTTTTCTTCTTTTTTTTCCAAAGGCTTGGTAGTCGACTGCTCAGGTCAAGGATTGCAAAAACTGGGCCCAACCTTGCCCTGTGATGCTGATACTCAGACTCTGATTCTGGACAAAAATCAGATAATTAAATTGGAACACTTGGAGAAATGCAGGAATCTGATGCAGGTGAGTGTTACTTGATTTGAAATTATTATCAAATAATGGTGATATGATGTTAGAATCTGCTGCCTTCAGGCCATATTATGTACTGAAGTAAGCTAGCAGTTACTGTCTTCACAGAAAGATAAATGATGGCTGACTAAAGCTTTGCTTTCAATGGAGGGGACTAAAACTAAAAATGAGCTAAATAAATCCTAATGGGGGAGGGACATCATAAGGACACTTAGAAAAGTCACTGATAACTCAAATTTTGATAGTTATTAGCTTTTGAGTACATGGGCTTTGTAACCTTGAATATAACTTAATATAATCACTGGAAGTTCTCCTGGATAGGCTCGAAGCTGCCTGATAACTTCTACAGCCCAGCTACACTGAGTTGGCAGAGGTGGGGTTTGTTGCTACAACAAACCTTCACCACACTGCCAGCTTGGTGATCATGTTACTGAAGTGTGTGTCTAGTCTGGATTCACCCTTTTAAAAGTTTGTGGTTTACAGTCCTATTAGCACAGGACCTCTTTGAGAATTGTATGAAATACATGTTGTCCTCTGCCATTTTGACAGTAAGTGCAATTTTACACCAGGAATGGGGCAACAATTTGCACAATGAATTGGCAGTTCTGATCTTACAACTGTATTTTCACATGACACGATTCCTCATTCTTTTTCCTTTGTTTAGCTATTGCTAGGATATTTTCCTCTTAAGTTTGTGGAATGAGCTGTGAGGACTCATATTCTTTGATCAGTAATTTATTTCCTGGCTCTTGCAGGTTTTTTGTCTGTGTCATTTACATGACAATGAAATACGGAGATTGAACAAGTATCTGTTGGAGTAGATTTTTAACTATTAGAAGTAAAATCTTTATCTGCATAGTTAAAACTGTTTATTTTGTGTGTCTGTCTGCAGCTCTCTGTAGCCAACAACCGTTTGGTGCGAATGATGGGTGTGGCAAAACTGACCAAGCTCCGAGTGCTCAGCTTGCCTCATAATAGTATTGGGTACGTGGAAGGGCTGAAGGATTTGGTGCACCTGGAATGGCTGAATTTAGCAGGAAATAACATTAAGGTAAAGTGTTTAGTCTGTTGCATTTACCAGAATCTTGTGCTATTGAAATTTGGAAAATGCTGCAAAGAAATCTGACTATGTTTTGATTGGAACAACAATGTTAATGTTTTGTGTCTGCTGGCCTAGGAAATAGAAGATGGCAGCTTTTGGAGTAGAGTTGTCTAGGAAAAAATAAAAGGTTTGATATCAAAATGAAATGAAAGTAAGGAAGTATTCTCCAAAATAGGAAAAAGAATTATTATCTTTAAAATACAACTGTATTAAAACATAATTTTTACTTTATGTTATTTAGCTAGTGGGGTTTTTTATCTTTGAAAATACTTTATAATTATTGATACCTGGTTTTATTTAGTAGCTAAAAGAAAGTCACTGAGTAACTGATTTCTTTATTTTTGTAGGCCATCGAACAAATCAGTTCCTGCTTGTCTCTTCAGCATCTTGATCTGTCAGACAATAACATAGCTCAATTAGGCGACCTCTCCAAGCTTACCTCACTAAAGGTAGATGTTCTAGCTCTGTTTTTATTGCATTCTATACACAAAGAAATTTGCTTTGAAAATTGCTGCCTTTAGACATTAACTCTTTGAACACTAGCTTTTAGAGCATTTTAATTCATTAACTGTAATTTCTCGAGAGAAGCGTGTAAATATTCTCTTCCTTGTTTTGAAGCTGCAAGAGCTGAGGTAGTGATTTTTCTATAGCCACTCTAATGATGTTGATAAATATATGATGGTGATATCTTCTTCATAGCTCTTTATTCTCTTATCTCCTATCATGAATCAAAACAAAACATATTTCTAACTCTTCCAATATGCACACTGTAGATAAAAACGTTTTCAAATGCATTTTTTGGTAACTGTGACCAGAAATACTTTTGCAATGTATTTTTGTCAGGTGATGCCTAAAAAAGAAATCTGTGGGTTTTGATCAGACATTCATTTCATCATGTGTTTTATTTTATAGACTCTCTTGCTACATGGAAATATTATAACTTCACTACGCACTGCCCCTGCTTGCCTACCTCAGAGTTTGACTATTTTTTCTTTGGCAGAAAATGAAATCAGAGACTTAAATGAGGTAAGATATAGAAGATAGTCTACATAAAGACAAAGTGATCTGAAAGAAGGAAATTGAACAATATTTTTGAGGTTGTAACTGAAAATGGGCTCTCTTATTTGAAACAACACAACTTTTAATAGTTTAATTGTTTATATGTAATAGCCATATTTGCATTAGCTGCACGACCTAGTGGTATCTTTTAGAATTTAGTTTGGGAAGAAATTTGCTTTTTTTCTGTTATGTTTTTGTTATTCAAGGATGTTACTTCTAGGCCTAACCTTTTCTATTTGTCTGAAAGTTGAAAGCTGAGCTGATTAAATGCTTCAGACAGCTTCTGCAGCTGCTGGGATTAGAACAGA